CCATGGGATCAATTAGAGGCCCACTTGCATACCATATCTGGCGCTATCAAGTCGGTAAACGGCCTACATAGTGCGTCATAAAAGCTCAATAATTGTATTGTGTGTATCCTCGGAAGAGGTTCAAAGGCTACATCATTCACAAAGGATCCCATGTAGGAGGCTCAAGCAACTTGTCATTACCCCACAGAGATGGTGAAAGGCACTTCTGTACAGTTCTGGCTTGATGTGGTCAGCTCTGCGCGATTGCAACAACTGCAACTCGTCCGAATACCCACCCCCTACATGTTACTTCCATCATGGTAATCTCGTCCAACCCTTATTTTCATCACTTTTGAGGTGCCTTATCTTTAGATTTAGATTTAGATTTATTGCATGTGTCTGGCACATGGGAAAAAACACAAGTTGAAATCCAGCGAACAAAAAGATCAACATTGAACTTATTGCAACAAAAAGTACTTGAAAAATGGGAAAAGGTAATTGCAGATAAAACTGTGGATAAAACGTGCTAGGTAGCAGAAGCATAGTATGAAAACTTAACCACCGACCGAGTCCCAAAATAATCTCGTTTAAGTTACGCCGCACGATGTTTTTGAGTTGTATTATACTTTGAGGCATAGCAATTTTTTTAGTTAGCTTAGAATATTCAGCAACCGCCCTTGAAGTGAAGAACCTGGCTCTTTTACTTGTCCTAGGTTTTGGTACGAAAAGCTTGTTTTTCTCTCCTCTCGTAATAGTGCGTCGAATAGTAAAAAAATCATCGACCTTTACATTAATTTTCCCGTTGAGCATCTAGAAAAGGTTATGAGATCGAGCATTTTCCTCTTGTGAAAATGGGAATCCAGTCCCAACATTTTATTTTTAATGATACCTCGCGGAATCGATTTGTAGTTGAACCCAAGGGCTCGGATCAACATCTTCCTGGTGAAGCTGTTCTGAACAGCCTCAAGTTTCCTGATGTTACCTTTTGAATGTGGAAAGTAAATAGTAGTCCCGTATTCCAGTATCGGACGGACATAAGTTTTGTAGGCTTTGAGTAAAACACATGGATCCTTAGTGAGTAGACTCCTAAGGAGTAAGTGGAGCCGCCACTCTGCCTTACTCGATAATGCCAGACAATGTTTGGAAAATGTCAATTTATTGTCAACTATGAACCTCAGGTCCCTGACTTCACTGTTCACGCAAAGCTTGTTGCCATCAATGTGGTAATCGAAAGGGATGATATTAGAGCCAATGTGGAGTATCTTTCACGAAATTGGCGAATTTTCTCGCTTTCTTCACTACCGATGAACTGTTCCCAACCTATACATACGCTGTTCGGATTAGAAGAGGTAGCTTAAAATTATTGTGAACTGTGCCTTTAGCTCCGTTCACAGGAGGCGGGGCGTGGGCGCCTATTAATGTTAATTTAGACTTCAACCGAAATATCGAAACCAAGGTTGAACAAGTCGAAAATAAGTTGAGTCCAACCTACCGAAACGCCGTCGGTCGGTCGGTCGGTTGAAACAGTACTCGTCTTTAAACTCTTAAGGCGCCCGTTGGGCGCCAGTTTTGTGAAGATGCTATTTATTTCCACTCACGGTTTCCACTCACGGTAGCACTCTGCCATTGCGTACAAGCAGCAACACCGAAATCCTACCTGAACTTTTATTTGGTTTCGATGCGTCGTATTGTCGTATCCACCGTGGTTATTCCCATGAGCATGATTTCGTTACAACGATTCCGATTCTTGAACACTATATTACTACAAACATACAAGTTAAGCGCGTGCGATTTAGGAGCCCAAGACCTCTTTCTGGCCATACTCTGAGAACCCGTAGAGTTGAAGAATAAATGATAATGCTTTGCGGTTTGGATGAAGGCTTCCTTTTTCGACAGAAAGTAAACCGTTGGGGTTTTCACGAAAATTCGTCGCTTATCTTACTGGCACACAGTTATATGAAGAACCAAGTAGGGAAAATAGAAAAAAAAATTGGATAATTAATAATAAGCTCTATGCCAACAAGGAGAACGTCCGTTGCGCGCGTTCATCGGAAGTGGGTCACCCCGCCCACTTCCGATGAACGGCGCACCCCACTGAGGTCTCGGGATGTGACTACATTACCACTAAGTGTCAATGGAGCGAATGATTTGCATTTGTCCGTGTTATGTTCTCTTTGAGCTGACTGCCGTGGACCAAGCGCAAATCGTGTGCTCCACTGACAACTGCGATCCGTCAAGTATCGCGGGCTGGCCTGCCGTATGTGGTTAGTTTCCATGAACGGCACTCTGAAGTGATGATACAAAATGTGTTTTTCGTGTACAAGGAATTGAGGCTTCTTTTGACACTCGAATTATAGAAGGCTATGGACTCTTCTTTGAGCTCCATAGGATTGGAGCTCATGGGTCAGATCACAAAGTTGAAGGCTACGTTTCACTTTGGAACCTCTATATTCTCACAAATTGTGCAAGTTACGAGTCCATCGTCGCTTTCATCATCACACGACCGCAAAGGATTATTGTGATCACCTTTCACGGACTCGACTCCCTCGCAAAAGTTAACGGGCTTGCTTTCATAGCATCGGGAAGTGTGGTTTAAAAGCTGTTCATTACCGCCTCTTTAAATGGTGCTCAAGTTATGCTGAGGAGCGAATGTCCTCCATCAAATATGATGAAACCACATGTGGTCAGAAAAATCGCTATTGACATGTTGAAGAGCGTTTGACCCGACGAGTTTTTTGGAACGTTTCTCCTTGTAGCTCTTAAGCCCATTTCGAGGAAATGTTTAGAATTCCTCTTTAGCTCGAATGGAGCTCCACTCTTCATCGGTTGGTGAGAGGCAAAAAGACTTTCTTTGCGATACCTTTTCAGTGTCCTTATTTGTGAGGAAGCTCCGTAGATGCCCAATATTCAGCCCAAAATGTTTTGCAAGCGTTTAAGTCGCATTTCATGGAAAAGCAAAACGAGCGAAGAAGTTAGGTTTGGAAAAGTGAAAAGGCATACTTCACTGACCGGTACTGCGACCCAGATTAGTTTTGAAAACCTACAAGCTTTACGACAAGATGAATTTCGAAAGGAAGCACAACTACAGTGCCGCATGGCACGCGCTTCGAAACACTTTGTGGCAAGAGGGTGTTCAGCGTCGAAGAAATATTCAGGTCCCAGAGTACACGTACCACGTACACATACACCTGTTTTTCACTACGAGCCCCGAAGCCGGTGAGAAAGGTCAGATCGTTTCTCGTAACCATTTTCCTGCTTCCATTATGGTTTGGGCTGAAATTATGTTATCAGCGCGGTATCGCTTATTTTTGCTGAGTCAAGCATAAAAGATCAATACATCTCTATTGAGTTCATTTGTGAGAAGGTGCTGCTCAAAGTGAAAGATTTTTCTGAGGATAATATCCAGTAGCCATGGCGCACTCGCTCACCAATGGAGAAATATCATGGACAATGCCGAGGAAATGCTCGCGACTTTATCTCTGCTTCCAATTGGCCTACGAATTTCTGGGACTGCAATCGAATGGGTCAAAGGGTATAGTTCATGTTGGAGAGAGAAACCTGCATTCAAAAATGCTCCTCTGGTGCTGCTTCTAAGTAATCGTTGAAAAGGCCTAGAATGGAGTTTCTTAAGATATAGATATATCACCTCAAGACTTTATCCTTCATCCCTTGAACTCACCATGTATCGATATGGATTACGGTTTCTGCACGACATTTATTTTGCTACCATATTTGTGGCGCACCTTGTATATGGCAGTCAAGCAGATCGACTAATTTGCTTAGAACAGATCGACTTGCCGGGCTTTGGAGATAAGCGAAGAAGGCATCGCAAAAATGTATATAGAATCCTTACAGCAGATAGCGATATCCTCTGAATGGTGAGTGGAATTAACCATTTAGAGGATATCGCTGTCTGCAATAACGAATTCACGAGAAATGTTTCATAAAGGCCAACTTCGAAACAACTTACAGATGGATTCAGGCTTTCAGGTCGAGCTGTGGTATGCCGTCTGCGGCATCACCACGTTAACATCAGGGAAAGGGTTTTTTGACACTTACTGGTTCATGTAGGAATATATCATATATGTCACAAATTCCTCTGCAATATAGCATTATTTTCCTTAGTAAAACCGAACTTATGGATTATTTATAGACCAGTTGGGCTACATATGCACACAAACGCGTGCACTGTATGTCCACGACCGCTCATCTATGATGGAATCATCCATCGGAATGTTTGATGAATCAGATTAAGATAGTTCTATAGATTTGAGCGCCACTACCGGTTTGAAGGCATCTGCTCGATATATTTCATTTGAGCGGAATTATTAGAAGTTGGTCATGGAACAGTCCACCTCAGCGCAGACTCTTACCACTGTAAATAATTGACCACCCTTGTTTTAGTTGTGTGTGACAATTTTTTCCCATTTTAGAGCGTTTTTAAACGAATTTATGAATTTTTGACCTTAGACCCGCCCACCCCTGTGCAAAGTCGGCCCGGGTCAGTGATTCGACCACATTTCTTCTACAGCACTGAACACTTTTCCCGTGCCTAGCACATTTTTGAACGGAGTTATGAATTTTTGTCTTGGCCCTGCCCAACTCAGAGCAAACTCCTCCCACTTTGGAGATCCACTTTGACGTAACTTCATGACTTCATTTACCCAATTTTCTCTCACCACCCTTTTTCCTTGTTCTAGGACGTCATTCTGCACTACATTCAAACAAGAGGAGATTGGATGATTGTCTCTCAAATTACTCTGTGGCACAAAAGTTTTCAAAGAATGCACTTAAATAGTCTGCCTTTCGAAAAATCCGCCACACATCACTAGTCGACATAGGTTAGCGCTGCCAGGCTTGAACAAACGTGGCGTTCCATCGCGGTTCCACACCACAGAACCTGCATTGTCTCCGAGTTTCAAGAGAAGTTTCAAATGTTATTCCTTATATCGATAAGCGTTCACAGGAATTATATGTGAGATCACAGTGGTCATGGACAATAAAGGGGAAAGCAGATAAACATGAACGGCAGGACACATGAGCTACATGGTAAGAATGTGAGGTTTCGATTACTTTGGGCAAGGTTGGAATGCCGCATCAGATAAATGCAGGCTTAGTTGTAAGCCGAATGCACTAGAAACTCTCGATTTACTTGTTATGAGAGATGTTGAAACAGACGTTCCTTTTCAGTTATATAGTTATATCTTACAACTCAACTGCCGTCCTATCGTAGGAGAGAAGGAAGCATCAACCATAAGTCATAATGTGAGTTTACCTCATCATAAACTTTTCTCAATTTGAATTGAGTACTTGTCTTACTATTATTATTTGTGGGTTATCAATGGTTCATACAGAGGTATAACATAAGTTCTCAACAGAAAGAAAAACGGCCGAGGAAACAAATAATGAGCTTCTCCCAAATCTCAAGCATCCATGGCCTTCTCCAGCAGCTCACGCAGTTTTTCAGTATCCTCGTGAAGGGAACCGCTCCAGAGTTCATCCTTCAACAAGTCCCTTAGGAGTGCATTGAACAGCGAGTGTAAGGGTGGAAATGTGAACCAGCTTCCTCCTCTTCAATGGTCGCCTGATAACGCGAGTTTTAGCTGCCAAGTACACTATTGGGGTATTTGGACCAAACTTACCAAAAATTTTACATTAATCTAGATTTTTTGGCATGTGTAAGAAGTCTTCTTATTGAAGTTATAAATGAGTATCCTCACTCATATGAGTATAACTTGATAAGATCAGATTTTATGATACATTAGTTGTTTGACTAGATCGCAACTGATCGTCGACCAGCTTGTTTACGGCTGTGAAGTGCTACAACGGAACACCACAGAGCCGCTGGGGAGATGCTTTGAAGCAACTTTCGCCCCAATTTTCATAGATTTTAGCAAGATTTGATGTGTTGGGCGTGCGTAACCTTAACGAAGCTCTGCCCACGGTGAACGGAGCGTGCGTTCGAATAGAAGGTACCCTTCAAAAATGTAGATAATTCTTTTGACTTGATGTTTTGTTAATTGCTGTTATTTCGCCACAGTACGCGTTTCGAAAGTCTCGCAAGGTCGGCATATTATGAACGGGCGAAAGCGATTTCTTTTTTTTTTTTTTTTGACAGGGGAATTTCTTTACTGAATGTGCAAATATTGCCGATTGAGATGTAATTGCTCATGCTTTCTTGTCTTTTCCGAAAACGTCAGCATTCATATTAGCAAGTGTTTGATAGTTGGGATCATAGGTTCCTGCCATTCCTCCGGCTCCAGGTTTGATTTGCGGCGGCGGTGCTGCACCTCCACCTGCAGGGGCTGCTGCAGCTTTCTTATCAGCTCCAAATACGTCGCCACCGATACCGGCTAACGTCTGATAGTTCGGGTCGTAGGTACCTGCCATCCCGCCCGCTCCAGGTTTGATCTCAGGCGCTCCACCGCCTCCAGGGGCACCTGCAGCTGGAGCAGCGGCAGCTTTCTTGTCAGCTCCGAACACATCTCCTTGGATGTTAGCCAGCGTCTGGTAGTTCGGATCGTACGTTCCTGCTACCCCTCCCGCTGCAGGAGGGTTTGGCGCTTGCGGCGGTGGAACTCCTGGTGGGGGTGGTTGTGGTGTCGGTGCTGCTGGTGTTGGTTGTCCTGGTGTGTTACCAGCTGCAGGAGGTGATCCTTTTGCGCTTTCCTTGGCCTTTGTCTTTCCGCAGAGGTTAATCAGGAACGTTGCTGAGAAGTAGGCCAGCGCGGTACTGAAAACGTACAAGTGCCAGTCTTCGACCATCTGCTACACATTCACAACTAGAAAATGAAAATGATTCAATTTCGGCTGACCGGCTCACCTCATTGTACGTGTGAGTGCTGATAAGCTGTGTCATGAAAGCCTATAAGAAGACGAGTGCAAGCAGGGTCTCGGTAGTGTGAGGAAGAGAGAGCAATGTGCCCGGATAACAAAATACCGGCTTGAGCCCATCCGAGGCTGAGTTTTGTCCATGACTCGCCAACCTTGTGAGAAATACAACGTTCGAGAAAGTTCTAGAATGTGGAGAACAAGTAGTTAGAGCCTGTGGAAGGAATGTGGTCAAACCTCCAACGTAGAAGGGGCCTGCACCGAGGTGGGTGGAGCTAATATCAAAATTCTACTCAAAAACTCTTTTCAAACTCTATCCAAAAACCTTCCAGAACACAGGTATATATGGTTAGGGGCAACTGAAAGTAGGATATTCATAACCTAAAGCGGGCAGGGCTTGCTCTGAGATAGGTGACACTAATATTAATCCCTCACAGCATTGTCTGTAGACGTCCGTACGTTCTAAAACTGTTCAATATATGAGGTCGTCATCATTATTCACCAACTATGAATTCACATATTTCTACATGTAGAATTCGCTTCAGTCTGTATCTCTGGTTCTCTAAATTTCATAATGCCTAAACACGCGCGCGGAGAGATCGGGTCAAGTTTAGGAGGGTGAGGCCTAGGGCTCAATCAACACAGCGCATAAGAGGTCGAGGGAACCCCGCTCGCAAGGGGCGGAACATGCACCGGCATGGGGTGGTACAATGGTGAAATTTAAATGCAAACGGGCAAACGCAGTTGGTGGAAGTTCGTCCGCGATGAACGGAACGTTTTTGAACTTCTTGCGTAAGCTCTTAATCCAACTCACCCTATAGAAAGAGTCTTCAAGGGCGGAGCTCAAATCAGAAAATACATCTCTGTTTGCTGCGTTCTTTGCAGTGGCGCACACGTTAGTGTGCAGAGCCGAACAAGTAGGGTTAAGTAAGCAAGGAGGAGGGATCCAAACATGTTATGCGCATGCAGGTGGGTAGTGTTCTTGCTCAGCATTTCAATAAAAACTTCCAGAACATTTCAAAAAAAAAAACTAATCTGTTGTGAAATTCGCGAAGAACGTAATTTGCTTGTGACAGTGGATCCGCATTTCTTACAGTGTCAGTCGCTCAATTTCGCAATAAGTTGAAAGCAAAGCCGCTAGATCAGTTGAGAAATTCGTAGAAACGGGGGAGCCTTAGGCTGGAGTGAAAAATGTGAGAAGGGATGTGACTGGATCGCACCTAAAGGAGAAGGATAGACGACAATTGATAGGGGCGCAAAAATAGGATACTCCTAGGTACGTGGCAGCATTTCCTCTGAGAATTGGCTTCCCGCCTCCATAGGAAATGTTGTGTCAGACCGAATATAAATTTGAGTGATACTAATTGATCATACCAGATAAGACCTAATAAAAGAGTGATAAGGGACAGGGGCCACTGAAATGGCAGCGTTCCTTATATTGGAAGGAGGGGGTCTTGACGGGGTAATTTTTTATCATATTTGTGGTTTGACAGGATTGTAGGTAAAGGGTGGCCAAAGGTGGTGACAATTGGTAGGGACCCTAATTGCTCCTCACGTATGTGGTTAGAGAGCAACTCTCTACTATTTGTATACGTTGGCAAATGAATTTTAGATCTCTTAAGGCCAAGCTTTAATACTGCGTGAAAGCATGAGATTATATGTTTTCTAGTTGTCGACTTCTGACTTTTTCTCGTCTAAGCATAAGTAAACAAAAAACCTATTTAAAGCAAAAATAGCTCACCTTTTTTAGCCTTCTGGGGTAGGAAATTAAAAAAGGGGTGGCGGCAGCAAAAAGAATAGCGGAGGAAAAAAGACTGGAAGAAAAACATCGCCTCATCACTCGGCGATCACCTGATTGTGGGTGGGTTCTAGAAATACTCGCGATCTGTATTGCTTCGACTCTCGTCTGATGTGACATCGATCGAGAGGCGGGAAAGCGAATCAAGACAGCAACAGGGCTTCCACTATGCCCTGACCGTCGAGATTATGGGAGCAAAAGGGACAATTCTACCACCCATGGGGAAGAATGAGTATTCCTAAGGGAAGAACAGTAACTATTTTCATCGTGAATCGTGCTTTTAAGAGGTCCGAAGGCTGCCCACGCCGCTTTCTGCCGTCTCGCCAGTTCTGCCCTCACATTATTGTTCATACCCATGGAACGCCCGAGATAAATGTAGGACGAGGTCTTCTGATGAGTTTACCATCGATCTTAATTTGACCTTCGTCAGCCCAGGCATTCTTCAGGCATGTGCCGCCCTTGTTCGGTAGATCCGCAGCCCTACCACCTTTCCTGCTTCATTAAGCTCAGCGAGCATAGTCTCAGCTTCCGCAATGCTGCTTGAAAAGTGAACGATATCTTCCGCAAAGCGGAGACTTTAGAGGAACCGTGCATCCGAATGAATGCCCTTTTCGTCCCAGTCTAGCAACTTCATAACCCACTACGCGCGGCTGTGAACAGCTTCGTCGAAATAGTGAGGTCCCTATGGGAATGGTGGGAGGTCGTTGAAACAGCTTCACCGTCGCGCTGCAGCGACTACTGCAGTCAGCTAGTTTTCCCATGTAGGGAGGATCCACTCCTCGATCATCCAGTGCAGTGCAGAATGGACCGCATTCGTTTCGACGCCGTCAAAAGCTGTTTCATAGTCGACAAAGGTGAGGACAAGAGGCATTCGGATTACTCGGCACACTTCGATGACCATTGCGACCACTTGGATGTGGTCTAAGCAGCTAAATCTCTTCCGCAATACGGCCTGCTTTAAAGGTTGAGTTTCATCCAACGTTTGCGATATACGGGTTAGAATGATCTTCGTGAACAATTGTGAAGCACACTTTACAAGCTTATTGGACGGTAGTTGCAAAGATCATCCCGGTCTTCCTTCTTGTGAAGGATGACCATCCGCGAGTTCCTCCACTGGTTGAGGATCTTCTCCCTCTGATTGTAGGATGTCATGTGTGTTGCGAGAAGCACATGAAGTTCGTAGCCACCTGCGCGAAGTAGGTCGGCTGAGATCTT